TTAATTAATTTTTTGACATTAATATTATTTGTGAAGCATCACCTCTACGCAGAATTATTTTTATAATTTTTGCTTGGTTCCTTCCATGAGAAAATGCAATTATAGACCTGGTACACGTATCAAGGTTGTATTTAGAAATTGCGTTCGGTCTCCTTGGTTTTCAAGGTAAATTAAATGAGCAAAACTGGAAAAGGTCATGTGTGCTTAAAAGCGTGTGAGTATTTAATTTTTGATAAATTTTTGACCATTATTATTTATGGGGAATCATCTTTACACATAATTATTTTTTGATTCAAATTTAGTTCCTCCTATTAGAAAGACATGGCTAAGATTGGTTCTTATGTACAACTGTAATGAGATTTTTATGTTTGAATCGCACAAAAAGAGATAATGTCACATGTACGTGAATGCATGTCAATATCAAATCTTATTTTAAAAACTGAATTATGATTTTGACATTTTCATAAGCTTTAAACCATTGCCTTTCCACATATTTATTTATTTTAACATGAGATCTTTAAACACGTTCATAACTGAACGGCCAATGTGAGTTGAATTAAAATAAAAAATATCAATTATCTGCGCATTTTCGTTATATTACGTCATACGGGATTTCGTGCTTTAAATGGGCTGAAAGTGGAAATGGCACGTGTGCGAAAACGTTTGTTATCAATTCATCTTTCAAAATACATTTTTATTTTTTTTAAAATCCATGATCTATGATATATAACCTATGTAAAGAATTATTTTCAAATTAATTGCTAGGTTAATTCAATAAGCAATTCTGAGGTATATTTGAACTTTAATTCCATAGCAGATGTAATTCGGACAAAAGCTTCAAAATTCAAGAAGAGATTAAATCAATCAAAATAAATCTTATAATTCAAACAAGTCGACAATACTTGGTTCAGTTCTTTCATTTTAAATCATACCACGGTCAGAGATTAACATAAGTGACCGTTTGAAAACATACCATTTTTGTAGAAAATGAAAGGAAATCGCGTTATAACATGTATCGAGTAATTATCAAGTTCACGTCTTAAGTTTGATGTGGTAAAAAGCATTCTTCATTAGTCACACATTTAAGTTAAGGGAAGCCAAGATCATTTTAAAAATGAAACATTTGAATAGATATTTTTAACATTGAAATACTTTTAGAAAGTAAGCTTATACTAGTAGATTTGCTAGACCTAGCAATTCATCAACTTTTCTCCACAGGATCATTTCGTAGTACAAATGCAGGCCATTCAAAGGAAATATAGGTTTCAACATCCCCGTCTATGAATATTGATCTTTTTCAGACAGCAAAGGTAAGTTTAAAACAGAAATACTTCTTACGAATCCAAATTACAATTTAAACTTAAAATTGTGATCTACGATCTTATGGGTATGTCACAAATTTGATTAGATACATTCACTCAGCAGGCCGTTAAACATGTAATTAACTTTATAATTACAAGCGTAACTATAGGTAATTTCGATTTTAGTGTGTTCAAATTCAAGTTCTGTAGTCTCGAGAGTCAAACAATTATCATAGTTTATTTGGCCTGCTTTTAGAATTGGGAAAACAAAGGCAAGGTTTATATTTTATAAACATTCTGATTTGATAGCAAACTTTATTTTTGAGTGTATTAAATCAAATAAAGCTTATTGCATCGGGACCTGTACGTTCGTCCAATTAAAGGCAAATGTGCGGTCAATTAAAGAAACATGCACAGTGGTACACTGTTTTTGGAAAACATAACACTGATAATAAAAATTCATCAATTGTTATGAAATTTGCACCATCATTAAAAAGAAAATCGAATTTTATGATGACAAAATATCGGATAAATATGACAAGAAATAAAAATTTGTTACATTTTTTCCCAAAAAGTTGTAAAATAAAAATAAACTAAAAAAATAATATTTTCACGACAAAAAATAAATAGTTCAACTGTATTGATTATACATGACGTTTTCAAAGAGTAGAGAGCTAGATTCAAAGCACCGTTCCTGCAAGTTTCAAATGAAAATATTAAAAAACGCGCGCGTATGAGAACCGCAACTTTCTATGTCTGCACTGACAAAAACTTGAAATCCCCGCTGTAAAGATATAGTCCCACGCGGATGTGCACGTCATAAAACTGATGGGTTAAGGCAATGTGTCCTCCTACTGTTGGGAAATAGGCACTTTTAGGCACAGACACTTTTAAAATGCCCAAACTTCATCGAATAGCACCTTGATATTGTAAATGTTGATATGGTGGACAAACACTTGCTCCCCTCTGGCACCCCAGCCCCACCTCCCCCTCTGGCACCCCCCCCCCATTGACAACCCCGAAATTTGATGTGCTTGTTTTTCAATGTTTTTATTGACTAATACACTTTAAAAGTGTCCAGAAGCACCAAATATCATCTTTAAATTGTAAAATTTTCTAGGAGAGTTAGCCACACCTCAGATCCCCCACAAAACAAAAGAAAATATTCCTTGCTCCCCTACTGGCCCCCACCTCACTTCACCCTCTCATCCTCTTTGACACCCCCAAAAGAATTTGAAAAAAAATTCACATTTTTCTTATTGACTCATAACGCACAGGCGTACCAGATGGTTGCAAATTCGCTCCAAATACAACCAAATTTCAAAATTTCCTGGGGAAGGACCCCAGACCCCCCTGAATGCTCGGTTTTTATTCACTCAACTCTTATTCCCGTGGTGGTGGCGTACTACTTGGAAACTTACACTTTGAAAGTGCCAAGAAAGCACCAAATAGCATCTCAAAACTGTAAAATTTTCTAGGGGGAGTGGACCACTCGTCACGACCCCCAAAAAACAATTGGAACGTTTGGAAGTTGCATTTGTTAATTCCAAACCAATATAGAGAGTAACTGAGCCCCCCCCCCCCCATCTGACTTACGCGATTTGATTTACGCGGCAAAAAATTGACAATTTTATATTCTCTTTAGTAAGCTAAAAACCGCACCCCCCCTTGGAGAAAAGTGTCTTACGGGCCTGGCTGCTAAGCCTAAATCACAGTACCCTGCATACCAGCATAGCGCGCTACATTAGTCTACGATATTTTATGATTGTGAGCAATACAAACCTTATATTTTGTGATAGCATCAAGAAAGTGTTTAGGTTCAAAACGGGGCAATATAACTGATTTTGCGCCACTATGAATATGTGCGGCAATGACCATAATCCCGTAAAGGTGAAACATTGGCAATACTTGTACTGTGCACCCCTGGGCTTTACTAGCATCCTCCCTTTTGTTAATCCACATTGACATCGGCGAACCACTGAATACAAGAACAGAAATATGAAGAATTAAAGAATAGAATCAAGACCAGAAAATTGAGAGGAAAACGTCAAGATTGGGTTACTACATAGACGGGTTGGTAATAGATGCAATCTCTATGGACGCCTTTTATAATATTATCCAATCAAAAAAAGCTATAAAAGGGATGGCCGCAAAGTTTTTGAGGCATAGCAAAGAAAGGGTCTAATGCATTAGAATAGCAACGTTACCTTGTCATTCATACGGGCATACATAAAGCACGTGGAGAAGACTGATACAAGAAAGCAACAATCACAAATGATCTTTTACATATGATTCTAGGTTTTGAAGAAAAGGAAGTGAAAGTGCATAGGATCTAACTGGAATATGCTGGCTATATCTCAATCCCAAATGGCTAAGCAACATTTCCTATGAACATGTTGTAAAACACCTAGTTCGAGCTTACTCTGTATTTCTCAATTGTACGCAGGTACAGTTCCTGGTCGAAGCGGGGGAGAGTAACAAACTTTACGCCTTTGCGGATGCAGCCTGCGCATACAAGTATGCCGTATATGTGGAACAAGGGAAGGATCACCACAGTTGACTTGGTACCAGGCACATGATCCTCATCAGAGAATGGCACAGAGCTATTTGAAATATCATTATTTATACATTCACTTACACTTATATCAAATATTTTCTCTGGACAAAAAGATACTCAATATACAAAATGGTTACTCAATACTTATGCTAGCTACAAAGTGAATGCTTGAAATAATGCATACTAAACGAAACAGAATGGATACAAAATGTTATATGATGTAAGCTTAAGATAAACAAGATTAAAATACCTAAATTATCAAAAACGTTTACTCAATATACCACAAATCATTCTCAAAATATCACAATATAGTCTACAGACTATATACTCAACATATGCATGACATTACTCAAAGCATTAAAATCGATCTATTTCAAACACAACCTAAACTGAATACTCAATAAAACACATTACATACTCAAACAAAAAAGTTGAGAGGTCAAATAACGTCTACACAAAATGACACCAAGTGTTCTCAAATATGACATCAAATATACTCTACATAAAATACATTCCTTTTCACACAATGCAGATTGAATATAACACTATTACATACTAAATCAAGAATGGATTGCATGTGCAACACATCACTACTATGCTTACTTAACATAACACACTTCTGACTCAGAAACTCTACATACTCAACATAATACAATACTCAGTAACTCAAATTACTACTAAAACTTACTCAAGTAACACATTGCCTATTCAAATTAATGCAATAGTTACTGGAAGTGATACAATGTTTAGAAAAATAACAATATGCAAACTCCAAATAACAAAATGCTCACTCAGAATTTAAAAGAATGCTTTCTCAAAATAACACAATGATTACACAATCTCTACTCAAACTAATGCTATGCTTACTCATAATAACACAATTCTTACTCATAATAATAGCCTGCTTACTCAAAACATTATTCAAAAAATATTTACTCAAAAATATACAATGTTTACTCAAAATAATAAAATGCATTCTCCATATAATACAACGTTCATCCAAAATGATGCAATGATTATTTAATACTCACTTGAAATCATATAATTAATCAAATGCTTACTCAAAAAATACAATGTTCAATATTATACAATGCATGCTAAAAATAACACAAAGGTTAACTTTAAAACAAAACAATACTTACTCAATTTGTGTGTAGTTGGCCACAAGACTGTAATGGGTCAACATTACACCTTTGGGTACCCCAGTAGTACCACTAGAATATGGTAGAAGTGCTATATCTTCTTTAGGGTTAAATTTGAGGTTTGTGGGGAAGGCTGAACCATCATCTTGCATCAGTTCTGTAAATGGTTTGAATCCATCTGCCTCCCCAAATACATACTTGGCCTGAAGAAACATAGAACAATTTATGAGAACTGGAGGCTGCCTCCTCAAATACATACTTGGCCTGAAGAAACATAGAACAATTTATGAGAACTTGAGGTTGCCTCCCCAAATACAAACTTGGCCTGAAGAAACGTTAAACAATTTATGAGAACTTGAGGTTGCCTCCTCAAATACATACTTGGCCTGAAGAAACGTTAAACAATTTATGAGAACTTGAGGTTGCCTCCTCAAATACATACTTGGCCTGAAGAAACGTTAAACAATTTATGAGAACTCGAGGTTGCCTCCCCAAATACATACTTGGCCTGAAGAAACGTTAAACAATTTATGAGAACTCGAGGTTGCCTCCCCAAATAAATACTTGGCCTGAAGAAACGTTCAACAATTTATGAGAACTTGAGGTTGCCTCCTCAAATACATACTTGGCCTGAAGAAACGTTAAACAATTTATGAGAACTTGAGGTTGCCTCCTCAAATACATACTTGGCCTGAAGAAACGTTAAACAATTTATGAGAACTTGAGGTTGCCTCCTCAAATACATACTTGGCCTGAAGAAACATTAAACAAGTCATGAGAACTTGAGGCTGCCTCCTCAAATACATACTTGGCCTGAAGAAACATTGAACAATTTATGAGAACTTGAGGTTGCCTCCCCAAATACATACTTGGCCTGAAGAAACATTGAACAAGTCATGAGAACTTGAGGCTGCCTCCCCAAATACATACTTGGCCTGATGAAACATTGAGCAACTTATGAGAACTTGAGGTTGCCTTCTCAAATACATAATTGGCCTGAAGAAACATTGAACAATTTATGAGAACTTGAGATTGCCTATCCAAATACATACTTGGCCTGAAGAAACATAGAACAACTTATGAGAACTTGAGGTTGCCTCCTCAAATACATAATTGGCCTGAAGAAACATTGAGCAATTTATGTGAACTTCAGGTTGCCTCCCCAAATACATAACTGGTCTGAAGAAACATATTAGTAGAACAATTTATGAGAACTTTGACACACTGTCAAATCATATTTTGATACACTTGTATCTCAATCCAATCTTCTCTCTTTGTCAGGAAATAATTCACCTAATTTGAAAATATTTTAGAATTTTTCATGTGGCATATTAGACTTTCAAGTTTTGATATTTACAGAAAATCCAATTCTAATCATGGACTAACTTACATATGTACCATCAGTTCTAATTTGGATGACTTCCCATATTTACTTTTTTGATATTTTTCCAAATCAATATTTCATTAGACATGGTTTTTAGGTGAAGATTCAGTAAGATCCTATGGAGGCTATTATCCATTTTACCTGTAGTTTTCCATAGTTTTCAGCAGCCTTGTTAACAGTATCAGCAAACATAGGAATTGTGATGATGTACTTTGCTGTAGAATCAGCTAACTGCCTTGATAGCTCCCCTGAACAACAGACAGTTTAAAGTGACAAAAGGGCAAAATCATTCACGAAAACTTCATATCTATCAATGTTCAGCAGTTTTTAAACTGTACATCAACAAGGCATTAACATGCCAAATGTCACAACCTGCCAACTGATACAGATGCCGAATGCTGAACACCATCCAAAAATGTTGGAAACTTTAACAATATGGGATGAAACGCGACATAAAAATGTGTATTTCATCCCAACAGGGAAAAATGTTTGGGCATATTAGACCTTTAAAGATTAATCATTAAAAATTCAACTAGTCAACAATTATTATGTTCAGTACATTTGAAATATTTTAAAACTTGCATCTAATCCTTTTGTACCAGCCCCCTAAAAAGAAAGCAAATCGCAAGTATTCAAATACCTGGTGTGTACAGTGGGTTAGCTGTTGTAAGGATTCCTCCAATGGAAATCACAGCCAACTGAATAATGGCAAACTCGGGTAGATTCGGAGCAAACACACAGAACACATCTCTACGTTTAAAGCCTCTACGAGTCAATGCACTTCCAACGCGACGCACAAGAGCCTTTAACTGACGAGCTGTATAGGACCTTCCAGTGATTCCATCAACCTAAAGTATAGTTCTAATTGTAACATAATAAATTGAGAATTCAGTTTCTAAACATACAAGGCACATGGTGAACAGTATTGTACCTAAAATACAAATGAATATGAACGAAGTCTATTTAGCATGCCAAAAAACTATTCATCTCGAAATACACTGATTCCAGACAACATTCACAAAAATGATGACCTAAGAACATTAACATTATAAATTAATTTCTTGTGTGAAAGTTCTGATGTGTGCATACCAACAAGATGTCATCTCCATACTCGTCAAGATTCTCCATGACATAGTCATGATAGGTGACGTCATCTCGAATCTTCACATCTGGGTATCGACAACGAAATATAGTCATCTTAAAGGTCCTATGTATGAGTCTGTTGGAAAACAAGCTGTAACTTATTCAGTGTTATGGTATTGCACAAAAAATGAACACAGTATGAGTTTGTCAAGTCTATGTTACAATTGTGTTGGGGTAACCTCATAAACCTTCAATGCATCAGCAATTTAGCAGCATGTTGTCATTACCATATAAAACTCTATTAAGCATTTCCAAGTCAGTATCCAAAATAAATTCCTGCTCGTCACAAGTCCTTAGACTCCCCCTGCATAATAACAATAATAGTAGTAGGTGAAGAACTGAGAACAGCAATCACATGTGGACTTTAAACTTTGCTACTTGTAGTTTATCTTATAATATGAACATGTATGTGCTATCCTGTGACTAAATTATCAAAACAGTCATGTAAAAATTGTGATCTAAACTAATAGAGAACTTAGAAAGGAATGAAAAAAATTGACTTCGACATGACTACTTTTGTTTCAAAAATAGAAATATAAACACTTATATTTGAAATAAACAAACGTGGTAAGAAAGAGATTTTAAACATGGGATATGTCAGGTTTTGAAGAGGTCAACAGGGTGTGTGATTTTTCAAGTTTAGCATGCAATCCAAAAACCGACATATACAATAAGCTATCTAATATTCAACTTAGTATATGGGCAAAGATGATTTATTCTTATGAAATTGCCAATATTGTCACATAGGTGTACAAAAACGAAAAACCAAGGCAATTGAAAAAAAATTAAGTGATACTTCTTTTTGTTAAACTGTGGCTTCTATGATAACAGATATGACCTTATCTTTGATAGGTTAGAAATTATACAAATTTTGAGTGAGATAAAGGTAAAATCTCTTGAGATACTATGATCCTATCCTTATATTAATATGACCACTCTCCAGTATAAGTCCAGTAAAATATACCATGAGGTTAAGTGCCATCATTAAAGGACAACTGAAATAGCTTTTCTCAACTTGCAGCTACAAAAACGCGGTTTTCTCCACAGTAAGCCCAACGTAGAGTTCTTGCGATAGCCATTATAAAATAAATGTTAGATAACTGCTAACGGTCATAGATAACGAAATAAAACTAACTGATCAATCAAATTGGCCCCCACGTGATTAGTAACGTCATATACAAAATATAGCTTTGGTTTATTGGTTCCTTAGTAATCACAACGTCATGACAACCATAGGATTTTTGTGTAAACAAATAACAAAACATTTTGGCATTATGACGTCATGATCTAATGGACCAAAACGGGCCACGTGGGGACCAGTGAGAGATCACGTGGGGGCCAATAACGTCACAACCAATTCGAATATTGCTTATTAAGCAGCTATAACGATCGTTAAAGTGAAATAATTTTCATACTACTGATGAGAAAACATGTCCAAATAATCAAAAAAGTAACATTGATTCCTTTAGGTTAAAAATACCATTTCATATCTGCTTCAAGGTATTATCATGATTATCACCTGAAAACAATTTAATATGGCTTTGTATCACACTGACTGAACACTTGGAGCTTGTTTGAATCCATTGATTTGTTCTTGATATAAGATTTAACTTTTACTCCAATAGTTAGACCATAAGAAGTACATGTAGATTCTATGTTTTGCGTCCTAGCAAAATCCAAATCAAGCAAGGGTACAAGGAAAACAAACACAAACTCGAGAAAAAACACAAGCTTGTTTGCTGAGAAATGTATACATTTTATGGACATAAAAGGGATGACATACCAATTTGCAATGATTACAAACATATATCTGTACATTTTATACAATATATTTAAACATAGCTATTATTCAAGGGTAAAAAATAAGAAAATACCCAATATATGCCAAAGTAATTAATAACATTGTCAATTTTGATGCACATCAAATTATCCGCCATATCATCTGATTCTGATTGAACAAAACGCGATGGTACTTTCAGACCCTTGTGATTGCTATTTGGATGTGGTTGTTTTTTCTGATTTAATCAAAATTGTGCAAGCAAGGGGACGCAAAACAAAGAATCTCCTTCTGATGGCCTGATATATGTTGCCAATAGTACATTATGCTTTTAAATTACTAGACCCCTTTGATTTGCCACTTGCATTTCCGCTTGGGAAATTCAAGACAAAGGCGAGGGATGGGGTTGGGGTATCCCAATGGTAATAGTACACAACATTTAAAAAATTACAAAACTAGTTTTGCTAAACTTTATTTAGGCATAGCAATCTTAGAAAAGTATATTTTTCCATATCACTTGTTTGGTATAATTGATGTGATCCACGTTTCATAAAGGTGCAACAATATATTGTTAGTCTACAAAAAAAATTCAAAATGATTTGACACTGTTACAGTTTATATAGAGTTGTAAAAAGTGGCAATTAAATATTGCAATTTGAATTGACCCTCACTTACAGTAAAGGCTGTTGTCCAATTATCAACAGGAATAATGAAATTGATTAATTAATTTCATTAGGGGGAGGGATAAATGATGGTTTCATTTTCAACATTCAAGCGGGACATATCAACATTTTAAAATTTTGTTAGATGAGATGAGGGGGGTCAAACCATTGCAAACTTAACTTTGTTTTCTATGACAGTTGATGACTGGACAACACCCTTTAAAGGCATTAAGCTAAAGCAGGTGAGAAATTCATACCAAGTACAAATATTGCCTTCTGCAAAACAAATGTTACCCTGTTATCTACAAGTATAAAAAATATAAATGAATCATCAGTTATCTTCTGAGCTCCTTTTTGCATCATCCTCCAATCACAGGGCTTCAAAATCCAGAATATATTCTTTCTTTTTACCCCCTGCGATAAGCAATTAGCATTTCCCAATTAAGAACTCACAATCTGATTGGCTGTCGCAATAATGCGACAGAAATCATGTATAAGTCATTACGCATAATTAGATCATGTGATTCAGTTCAATCGGGTGCTTCCATATTGATTATAGCAGGGGGGGGGGAGAGAAGGAGGAACGGATTCTGGACACCTGCTTAGGAGGATGTCTTGCATCAATTGAGTATTATTCATTACATAATGCTGTCTGGTTTATCACTGATATTCAACACTTGATTATCACAGATAATACGTGAGTATAATGTTCATGTGTAGAATTTGTATACCTTACACATGATAGTAATTTATAAAATTTGATTACAAATTGACGACACAAGTCACAATGTCATCTTTGATTTCACAGGTACAGTTCTTGTTATCACAGGTAAAATACTTAACATCACAGGTACACTATATATAATGGAGCACATTAAAGCATCCATACACACCGGGATACAAGGTTTCTTTCATTTGGAGCTGGGAGGGGGTAATACAGCCAGTGTATCAAGGCTAATATAGGGATTAGGTTGAAGGGAGAATGGCAGTAGTGGTCTTGTACTGTGTCCCAAGCCATTTTATATTTGTATACTGTTATAAGTAAATTGTTTGGCAATAACATTGTGATCTGACATGTAACAATGTTTGGGTGCAATCCCCAACTACTTAAATTTAGATTTGTTTTCCATTTGATTAATATTTTTCATGTTTATGTTTGTTTCTTCCAGACTAGGCAACCAACCATGAACATTACCATTTCCCAACATTCACCGAAAACTTGGCAGATACATTAATATTTTGACCATTAATCATAACATTTATGCTTACCCAACCAAAAATATAAGGATCAAGTCAAAAGATGAAATAATCAGGGTTAATAGACATTTCCCTCATTATGCCGTAACTTCAGATGTGAGATTCACATTATATTTGAGTTTATTGATAAATCCAAATTTGAGCCTGCGTTTCATTAGCTTTGAAATGTCATTATCAACCCTGTCTGCAAGACGTAAGAATTTCTTGCGTTCTTTTGGTGGTGAAACACTTCTAAAGGATGTATTTTCACTTGTCAGGTTTCCCCCTATAATTGTACTGGTTTCTGCTTTGTCTACAATACTAGAGATACTTGCTAATTTCCTTTCAGGGTCTTCCATTATCACACTTGAATTTTCAGGCTTATCAGGTTCCATTGTTGGATTAATCTCAGGGTTGCTTTCCTTTAATACTGGAACTTCTTTTTGCTGCGGCGTTATACTAGGTAATGCTGTAAGGTTATTTGGCACTGGTGTAGAGATATCAGGCAATGGTGTCGCAGTCTCAATGATGTTTTCCATGACATTTATGGGGCCTAACTTGCCCATATCAATCACCTTTCCCGAATCAAGTTCATGTTTATGACCCTTTTTATGTTTTTTATTTGTTTTATTCATATTCTCCTTCTTCTCTAACTCAAGGAAGACATTACTTTCATTTGCTTTTGGTTCATCTTTGTAAAGAGCAAAGTCATGAATGCTTTTAATATCAGATGAATCATCAGATATAATACTGCCTCTAGTTTTTGAGAAAGTTGACCTATCATGGCTCTCGGATAATTCACTTCCTGTTTGAACTTGAGCTTGTAGATTTGCTGCTATGGCATCAGGATCATATTTTTCAATGACTTCACCTAGTGATTCGTAGCCACCTAACATAGATGGTGCTGTTATAGGACGTTGAGTATCCACAACTTGAGATTGGAATGTATATCTATAAATATTGTCATTCTTGCGTACATTCTTTATATGCTTCATATCTCTGCGATGCTTCTTCAGTTGCATTTTTCCAGTTTCGAATTTTGCTGTGTAGGTAGGGTCAGCAAGTACATAGTGTTTTCCCCGGGATTTGCGAACTTGATCCCAACCTCTGAACCTGAAAGCATAAACAACAACAGTTAAACAGATATGTAGAATAAGGACAACTTTTTTGTTTGGGTGTCAGTATTATGATTACACTGTTTTTTGATAGGAAAGTCTCTTTTTCTCTGTTTGCTACCATCTTCTTTAACTTTTTGATACATGAATAAAATTAGTCCTACTTGTACAAGGTTCACATCAGAAGGTTCTTTCTACAAAGGTGGCAGTCATTCTTCCTGTAAATTCTGATTTTACAAGATTTCTGTTAAATTCCTTTTTGCCACACCTATTCAATTTTCTAAATAGTATAAATCAATAACCCAACAAAAGGAAAAGGGTCACATTTTTTTTAATTTATTTAAATATCAACGATAAAATTTGAAACAGAGAAACATTGGAAGGTGGATAGTGTCATAGGAAACCATATGGTATTTACATGTTGAATAACAACAAAATCATTCCATTACATTTTGTTTACCAAAATCATGAAGCTACAAAAGCTGCAATTTCATGGAGCCAAGTAGCAAATTTTATTTCTCAAATTACTCCTATTTTTGAACATTTCATCCTTGAATAACTAGACACCACTATTGTCTCCTTTTGGTAACACTTTTTAATAACACATGACCCAACTGTCACAAATATGATTTAATTTTTCCTCAAACAGACAAACAGATGTACAGATAAATGGATGGACAGGCAGATGAATGGCCTCTCTATATCCCTGGTCACTTCATCTGATGGAATAATATTATAATGTACCATTGTGTCAGTGTTGGTTCAAGTTAGTTTATTAGAGGGCAGATCACGGTCTAATGTGAAAACAAGATAGAAAAGTAACACCAACCTTGCATCACATGATCTACCATGAGCTGGCCTTGGACCTCCACGTCTTGTGTACGCCATCTTTGTTAGGTGTTCAATATCGGGCCCAACTTCCTTGTCTAATGGTGTCTCTGTTCTATGGTCCGAGAGTGAAGGAGCTGAAAGGTCATGAAAATCCAAATAGTTTAAAAACTCAAAATCTGGGTCAGAGAGCTAAAATTAGTTGGCTCAACATGTTTCCTTTATCACTGCTAGTTAGCTTTAGAAGACTTTTCAAGTTATTTGTCTAAATGCTAATTTTTTCAACCCCTGAATGCCAAACTGGTGAAAATACTAGTATGTTCAATAAGTTCTAAGGATTTCTCTGATGAGGTTCTTAACTTAACCATTTTCATGATTTTTTGTACTAGGTAACTTCCAATTCTCAGTTGCTCCTATTAATCATATATTTTCATGTTTTTTTTTCAAAATTCAAAATAACTAGAAAAATCATCCAAAATTTTAAGCAAGCAGTATTGGTTCCATATGCCAATTTCGTGTGTTTTTCTCATTTTCAAGTAGGTGCAAATATTTTCAAGTTGGTGCAAATGTTTTCAAGTTGGCGTATGGCAATTTTATTTATTTCAAGTAGGTGCAGAGCCCATATTTTCAATGTTAGGGAGATCGCTGCAGACATACCTGTGTTTGGCCTGACACCATCTGCTATCTTCTGTGCTGCAATTTGGGCCCTCTCAGCCATACGCATTCTATACCCTGGCATACGCATATCATAGTTATCGTTGAGTATTTGAGAGTATTTCAGTTCCTAAATTAAATAAAACAAAGTGATATTCAAATTAGTGGTATGCCACAGAGTTTTCGACTTTTTAAAAAATCCTGAATCTGTGAATACAAAAACATTGCAATGTGAATATTTTAATACATGTATGGAAATTAAACAAAAATACAAGATGAGTGATGCGATGTACAAAGCAACTTATTTTAATGATTGAATCCTTATTCCAAAATTGTTATCTTACCAGAGATTCCATATGGAACTCAAGATCCTCAATCATGTTTTCAGTATCATTAAGTTCTTCATTGGTTACAGCACAAGGGGTCTTTGGGCGAGTATATGGCTCCAATTTAGGACGCGGAATCTCATCTTTAATATTACCTGCAATGGAACAGTATCATAACATCAGTTAATATAAAAAAACACTCTATCATAGATATTCAAAATAAGGTCACCATAATGTCCATTGCCAATCATTGGGCACAAATAGATTTAAATAGAATTTACAAGCAATGACCAATAAACACAAGGCATTAACATGCAAAATGTAATCACCTGCCATTTGTTACAAACTGTGGGACGCCAAACACCAACCGCCAAACACTGTCCACAAAAAAGTTGGAGACTATAACAATATGTAACCACTACTGGTGATGACATAAAATTAGTCATGGCTATTCAAGATTTAAGTCTCTACACTGGAGTACTTGTACTTTCTTTGAAATATGAACTGTGTCGCAACAAAAGCATAAATGCCCAGCAAGTTGTATCTGCGTTCCATTTTGAAATCCATAAACATGTAATACAATCTAATTATAAAGGTTGAATGTAATCTAGTTAATAATGTCCTACTTGTTCTTGACTTGCGGGGTCTGAGCACATGCTCCATGCTCTCATAGACAGTCTGATTCCTTCCCTCAATGGTAGAACATTGGCCAGATGGAGTACTTCTTGCATATATTCCAATTTCTGGGGCAGAGACAGGTCGACCACGTACATACCCAGCCTTAGTATGGTCTACTTCACTCTGGGACTTCTTCACCTCAGCTTGCAGCGGCTTGTAGCGTTCTTGGTCCTTCTTAACCTGGAGCAAGAGTACATTACCAGAACATTCTTTGCAGTTCAACAAAAACCTATTGTTTTAACTACAACTATGTCAAAATCAAAAGAGAATTACAGTACATGTATAGACTAATGAATTTCTGGTGGTTGGTTATGCACCCGGAGGGAACATATGATATTCAGGTAATTGTTCCTGTCTATGGACACATTATCATCAGTATTTAATAGAATTGACTTTCGTGTTATTGAGCTTGAGAAACTATTGCTACTCTGAACTATCTGCTGAATGCTTAAGTTCTTCTGTCTTGTATAAAACTTGTATCTCCTATTTTTTATTTTACATTGAACTTGTCTATTATTCTCATAATTTGCAGTTCAAAGTTATTTATTGTTTACTGTTTCTAAATGTATGAATGTTTAAATGAAAGTGTAATTGCATCATAATTACAGAACACAGGGATTCATAGAGAAATATTTTTTCAAGAGATTATTTCAACTTTGACCACTTACTCTTGCTATTCTCCCCTCTGTGGTTTTGACAGGTGGTTCTTTAGGGGCTTTCTTACTGGCATGTTTTCCCTTCCCAAAGCTCCATTCTTCCTTCAGGTAGACTTCATTAAGTTGACTAGCAAGACGCTCATCATAGTGATACAGCAGTGATTTGAAGTCATTCATCTACAAAAGATGTGAAGAGAGTGTCTGTGATACTGTTACAATGAAGGAGCAGGGAAATACCATATATCTAACCCTGCTTTTTTATTTTACTAAATGAAATTATTGTTTCTTAACTATTCCGCTTTCCAAAATAATCAATCTTTCCAAAGTTTCCATTCTTCTTTAAAAACTGTTAATTTCCTGCGTTTTCACCAAAGTCTCAATTCTTAGGCAATTAATTCTATAAGATAACATTTTCAATGGTGACCTCGAGACTACAATAATGAGGGATCCTATCTTGTCCACCAGGATGAAATGTAAAGCAACATTCACAGTGAACTTACCTTAAAGAGATTACTGTCATCCTTCCCATAGAGAATATGGGGCATCTCTACCTCAATCTTATTGTACAGGTCACACCTAATGATACAAAAAAGAGTCAAATTTAGATATTTCAAATAGTTTGAATGATATTATGAACATATCAAAGTATTCATGAGGACTAATGTATTGAATACATGAAAAATCCCCAAAAATATCTTGACTACGTATGATACAGTTTCACACACATAATTGATACTACTTTACTTATTACAGAAACTTTTTATTGACTCACCATAATATGAGGTCCATGTATTCGTAGAGTTGAATTCGACTAGCTTCCTCCAAGTTATCGGACATGTGTTTGATACGGTGCATTAACTTCAATGGGGCAATTGTGCGACCACACATCTAAAACAATCACATATTTGGTGAATTAGACGTCATCATTTTGTACAGACAGTCGTTTCTTGAAAATATCATCAACTAAGACATACAATCCTTAATATTTTCCATTGTTTCAAGACAACCAATATTGGATGATAATCCACAATATTTATGAGAAGAGGATCAAAGGTTACTGTTTACAGGAAAGGTTTACTGGTTGGAAATGTACCATTTATGAAAATTAACTAGCTAAAATGGGCATATTTCTCAACTAAAACACCCTTGTAATGGTACACTACAAACTATGGTCAACACAGGTTAATGCAATGATCAATCCAGGTGAAACATTATTCATGAACAATATGCAAACACATTGGAAAGGGATCAAACCATAAACCATAGCATTCTCTTAGAGAGTTTTAGAACAACCAGAGTATTAAACAATGAGAATTGGAAAGTATCCATGGACCTTTATAAAACCTATGAAAATAACCTCAGAGAAAAGGCCAAGATCTGAGAGTGCTATAGAATTCTGTATAAATAGTACTAGTAATCTCCGTAGATGCAATGTAAGAGATTATTGGGCAATTTCCTATGGTTAATTATCTCATTAAGTTTATTCTGTTATTATTCTTTAAAGCCAATACAGTAACAGTCAATTTTTCCAAAAATTTTTGGGGTATCTATGAGCCAATAATTTGACTAATACTGCGATAAATGATTAATGCTGAAGTTCAGACTATGTGAAATGAAATGTATGGAGGCTATTAATCCTTATCAAGTAGCAGAATAATCCATAATTGATCAATAGGTTCCCAATAGGCTTTAATATTCCATTCATTCATGGCTGTTGATATATCGGTTACTCTGATGTAATTTAGTAGAAGGGATCTTGAAGTATACAGTATATGTATGTAGAAATAAAATTGAAAATTTGAAATTAACAAGAAATCAAAGCTATAAACACAATAAACCTTCAATAAAGTGAATTTAATGAATAATGTGGAAATCAATCCTTTGAGTTTTCTTTGTACATGTACTCTACATCAAGTGGGGTACTATTTTTATTACAGCTTTTAAACAATCTAAAGATCTAAACAAAAGGCAAATATCTATAATAAAGGAAAATGGGATATCCTTTCAGTTTTGACACACCTATGCAACCATTTTGGTGTACAGTTGGGATAAAGCAATGTAAACTTTTGTATACCTTCAGAGATCGGAGTAACGTTTTTTCCTCAGCCAACATGCCTTTGGTATCAGCGGCTTCATAGATCTGGTACGCCACACGCACGTTGTGCAACTCTGTGAGCCTATTATGACAAACATTTACCATGATTTCAGATATGATATACAAGCACTATATGTGATCAAATTGTCAATATGACTGCATTCTACAGTGCATGAAGTTTAAACTTGGAACTAAAAAATAAATATGAAAATTTCAAAAAACAAATATCGAATTAAATGTCAAACATCTTATAATTAACCTTTTGATATATAACAGACGTATAAAATATTGATTTTCCCTGTTAAAATCAAAGATGCTGTAAATGGTTAAGGTCAAGTTAACTTTCAACAGTTTTTTCAAAGCAATGTCAATAGTTAAATAGAATCCAATTACAAACAAGCAATAAAACGTTGGAGAAATATTCAATATTAGATTTGGTTTAGAATTTCAACGAATAAATACAAGATAAGCAAAACAGCACTTAAAGTCAATTCTAAACAACTCAAATCAAACTGTTCTTTCATAGCAAATGTATGTTTATTTTACAATATTATACAATAATTAATTGTTGATTCCAAAATATTACACCATGACAACAGAATAACACTACAAACAAACGGGGAAGGAATGAATTTTTATACAACTTGAAAAGTAATCCTGTAAAAAACTGTAATGAAAAGACCTGGATAAATTTTCAGAAAATATCTAGATTGATCTGAGAATAAATGTTTCATTTTATGATCATTCGGATAAAATTGCAACTGACAAAATATGTTCAACTGGCCAATCAAGGTTTTCTGTATTCTTTCCCATTTCAATATATCAAATGATTTAAGCCCATGACTTAATGAGTTGTAGATGATTTTAAATTATGTACATCTTGTTTCTAGACTTTGAATGAGTATGAAAGCACAAATTCAAAGTTTTATTTCTGCAAGGATTTAAATGGTCAAATGTAGAAATCAGAAAATCCACAGAGTAGCATATCCCAACAAACACTATATTCATGAATCTGTATATGTCATAAAGTAATATTTACCATCTATTCTACCCTTGATTAATTGGCAGATATCAAAAGATATACATGAGAAATATATCAGAACTTCCATTTGGATGACCATTAAGGAGTAAAGACAATACAATATTTGAGATGTAATATAACCATACTTTAAACAGATCTCCAAGTAATAGTTTATTTCTACTCTATCCAGCCATTTTGAATTTTCTGAGGCACGAATCGGAAAAAATACCATGACTGTGATGTACTCAAAAATTTTTTCAATTTGAGTATAATATAGCCACACTTTGAAAATTATTGCAAAATCTCACATTAGGTGGCCATTTTGAATTTTACAGGGCCCAAATCAGAAAAATGATACAATATTTCCAATCTACTCTAAATTGCTATACTTCAGAAAGATCTCAAAATTAACGAAAATTTCTGTTTTTCCGACATCTCCCATACACAGCCCCTGGGGGTCAGGGTGAGAAACATGGAATATTTGTAAAATAGATAGATGTTATGAATATACTGCCAAAATTTCAAACAATAATATTTATTACTTTGGTTTGGAAAAAGTTAAATATGAAGAAAATCTGTCTCCTAGTATTTGAGTTATCTTCCAGAGGGATGGATGGACTGATTGACTGACTGACAGTGGGAAGGCTTCACTATTTCCTTAACCAAACTTCATTCATTGGGATAAGTAACCATTTGACTGTTCAGCATTACTTGATATTACTTTACAATACACACACATAGTCTCAATTAGCGATATCAAGGAAAACTTTTTCATGAAAACTTAAAGTGTAATTTTGAATATGGAAGTATTCAGCATTCTGATACTCAGACTAAAAAAGGTACTGATAGAAGGCTGTGACCTCTCATGATGAATAATCAGTATAAGAATGAAGAATTTATGAGAAACAATTTGAAACAGTAAAATTCACATCAATGTCAACCAATGGAGGTGCCGTTTGCCTTTATTATGTCTCTTCCTTTTTTACTACTTAACACTGGCACAACAAGAAAAACAGCAACTCCACGGAGTAGCAAATCCCACCGAACAAAACATGTTAAAGCGGCCATATAAAATTTGAGCCACATCCATCCACTGGTATTTGAATTATCAAAGATTATGTTTTTATGAAACATGGTTGCCATTTTGAAATTTAGCTGTTATCTTTAGATTTCTTATTTAGCAGAGCTCCTATGTCCCAAGGTATCAGCATATACAATTTAATCCAAATCTGTCAACTGGTACTTGAGTTATCAAGGATTACATGTTAGCGGAGATTTCGATAAATAGCAGCCACCTTGAAAATTTCTTCTCAAGCAGAGCTACTTTATCTCTAGGTATCAGTATATAAAATTTGTAGTAAATCCATCCAATGGTATTTGAGTTATCAAAGATTACCTTTTTTATGAAAAATGGCAACCATTTTGATATTCAGCTGACACCTTTGAAATTTCTTCTTGCTTTCTTGCTTCGAACAGCTTTTCTATATCCCCCTCGAACTTTGTTCGGTGGAATAATTATGAGTTATCATAACAGGTTTCTGAATAAAAATTTAAATGTGCAAAGTTTGAAGTTTTGGAGGTAATAAGAAGATTTATTTCATCGTATTATACAGTTAATACTTACGTTAGGAAGTGATTATTGACCAATCGTACTGCTTTCTTCAGTACGCAAGCATTCCAGTCGGCTGTATGATGGTTAAACGTCCTGTCTATAATCTTGTCGAAGTACTGCTGATCTATCATCATAGTAAATGCCTAAAACAGAAAATTAAAGTTGTAATGGTTTTAAATAGATAATAATTCAAACATACATCCCAGCAAGGTAATTATGTTATGTCATGCTCAAGTTTATCAATTGCTATGAGACATTGAGGGACGTTATTCATTAGTCAACAAATATGGAAAGTCAAACTTCTAAAGCATTGGCATTGACTGAAAAGATGCTTTCCATCAAAGATCATTCTGACTTTGGAATATTTTTAGATCAGAATTACATCTTGAGCCTAAATTACATATATACGTAGTTGTACACATGCACTACAAAATGTGATGTTCTTAAGTAATATTGCAAATGAATGGAGTTCATTTACCTTGACTGTGACTCCCCTCCCTTCAGTTACCAAGTCATCAGGGATGTTTACTGATAAGATTTCAGTAGGAAACTGCAAGCAAATAACATACAAATAAATGTACAAACCAAACCTCATCATACCACAATCATTAGGCTAATCAAACCACAATCATAGCATTAAGCTGATAATATCCCAATCATTTAAGGTTCAGCATTAGGCTAATCATACCACAATCATTTTAAGCATAGCATTAAGCTGATAATATCTCAATCATTTAAGGTTCAGCATTAGGCTAATCATACCACAATCATTTTAAGCATAGCATTAAGCTGATAATATCTCAATCATTTAAGGTTCAGCATTAGGCTAATCATACCACAATCATTTTAGGCACAGCATTAGGCTGAGCATACCGCAATCATTTTAGGCACAGCATAAGGCTGAGCATAGCACAATCATTTTAGGCACAACATTAGGCTGAGCATACCACAAGCCTACCTGTTGCTTTGATACAGCCAAGCAATTTTGTAATACTATGAGGTCTGGTCAGCATCATGCAACAAAAATCACTCAAATGCTATGGATTGGAGTGAATTACTGCTCATTAAAAGATATGCATTTAATATAAATTCATGATTTTTGGAAAGAAAGTCCTTCAAAATCCACTGTTGAAATAAAAAAAAAGTTTCACATATCACATTTTGATAACATTGGGTAAGACTACAATATAACCCAAAGTGGTTTAAACTTTATAGGGGGGGGGTTGAGAAATCACCATAGCCGTGCAAAAGTTGAATTATTACTATGATACATTTGTTCATTTACAAATGAAATAAACATATAATCATAATCATGAGGATGACAGACAGAATACAAATATTTACCTTTCAGGTTTCTTGAAGTTAACATTATATAATTCTCGAAATCGTTGTTCCCTCTTCAAAAGAGGAGACGCGAAAATCTTTCCTTATAAGGTCAAAATATTTCCCATGATGCAGTTCGCGGAGGAACAAATTTATACTTCCTTGTTTTCCCTCATAGGTTTAACATGGGGATTTTCACACCTATTTTTCAAACGATATATTCGTTCATATTTCTGTACGAGAGTACAGAAAACATTATAAGAAACTATTGATCTCTTATTAATCTTAATATAACAGCTATTTTTTTCATTGTTTTGATTAATAGCGTAGTGAAAACGATGATTGAAAAGTGAGAAAATATTCCGGAAGAGAAGGTCACGTGATCAGTTGACTAGTCGCCATATTGGAAAAAAGAATATTCCATTCGACTTTCAATACTTTCATGCCAATCTTACCGCACTACAAACTGCAACATCGATGCAACAACTGAATAAAAGTATTCATCTTCAAATTACATATAGAGTTACGTTGAAAACCCACAAACAACTGAGCAGTAGACCAAAGAAGACGCGTCGTTATTATCTAGGTCAATCTGTTCAGTGGTCCGAAAGCAAATCTATAGTTCTAGTTTCCGAATTTTTTTGTTCATTGTACAATCTTTTATTAATTAAACTCGGTATACTGACTAATAAACAATGACAAAGAAGAATACTTGCGATGGTGTCATTGTTTTATTTAGCGTGCGGGTGTAAAAACAAAATTGCGTAATTGGTTCGATTTAGAACTTTCGGGTCACGCAAATAGCTACGCGAAATGCATAGTGGGAAAACATTGACCAATCAAATTTTGTCCTTTTTGAGTACTTTTTCAGTGCATATTTGCGAATGTTCTCATTCTAAGAGCGAACCGCGAAAGGGAGAATTGTATTTATACCACTCTAAGTCCGATTACAGTTGTATAACATGGGTCTATAACAACGATATACAGTGGAGAGTGGTATATCGTCATCGTATACAACTCCTCCATATACACTCCAGCGTATACCACTGTAGAAGTGCATTCTGGGAACTTATAAATATAGACCGAAGAACAAGGTGTATGTTTTGTTACACAGACTGTTGTGTCCCTCGAATGAGCGGAGCGAATGAGAAGTTCCGACACTCAAAAATTTTCATGATTTCCTAGAATCAAGTGACGTCATAAATGGTTCCGGCATGATTTGCTAGAATCAAGCCACGTCATAAATGGTTCGAGATCAACATCGGCATTATTGAGTTGGCTATGGGATATTTTATGGTTTTTAATTGTTATGATTGTGTTCGAATCAACTGTAATTGAACTTAGAGTGGCATATTCACGCTCACTTGTGAATATATCATATACTCACTCGAGTATAAACACGATATACAGAAAGAACCATTATATAACCTCATATTATACATAATTTAAACATATATCTAGAATTAATTTATAAATAAATTACAGTTTAAACTTACCCCTAATGCTCTCACTACGCACCTGAAAATAATAAAACAGGCTGGTTAGCATGAGTGGATAGCAACCTTCTTTTTATTTGGGTAAAATTACTTTTGTATTTCCAAAATGATCTGGTAAATTAAAATAGAGAGCAATGCATTAGCATGCAAAATGTCATCACCTGCCATTTGTTACAGACACCAATTGCCTAACACCAAACACCATCCATAAAAAGTTAGAGACTGTTTCAATATGTCACCACTTGTGTTTATTTTTTAAATCAGTTATATAGTAAGATAAAAAAACCTAGATTGTGCATTAAATCGCCATATTTAGCATGTGTGAACTTAATTAAGCTAAAAACAATTTTTGTTTTGCATAAGGCTATTTTGGCACTGCTTTGAATTTCAGAAAGAGATCAATATTCAAAGTATTTCCTTCCATTGTCTTACACTCTACAGCTCGATCCAAATGGGCTGACCACTACAGCTGGGTTGTAGCAGCAACTTGGTATTGAGGGTCATTACAGCACCCATCCTCCGATCACAGGGCTTCAAAATCCAGAATATATTCTTTCTTTTTACCCCCTGCGATAAGCAGTTAGCATTTCCCCGATTAAGAACTCACAATCTGATTGGCTGTCGCGACAGAAATCATGTATAAGTCATTGCACATAATTAGATCACATGATTCAGTTAAATCGGGCGCTTCCAAATTGGTTATAGCAGGGGGGAAGAAGGAGGTACGGATTCTGGAAACCTGCTTAGGAGGATGTACAGCACCATTCTAAACAGTGTTCCAAATAAACACCCAGTTACCTAATGTTCCTAGCAGGGTTACCAATTTCAATTTCCAAGTTTACATTTTCCCTAATATATTAGCACATTCAGTGTTTAGACTATACTATTTGATATTTAATCATTATCTTTTTACCAAGAACCTAAAAGGGACAGAGCATGTGTAACTTCCGCAAAAATGCCGGACCAATGACAGAATTAACAGGTAAAATCACTTCGAAATTGAAGAGATAATAGTCTGAGTGATTGACATGATATCGATGATTGTTTGTTTTGCTGGTTGGTTGGTTTAGAATAGCCTTGCCCAAGTCGGTATTTTTTTACAATCCAATACATCTCTGATATTATGCTCAGTTATTCAGCAGTTTCGAGATTTCCATAATACTTGCGTTATCAGGGGTATCGCGAAACCTTATTGATTGACAAGATTGCATGGACACGACATGTGACTTCAGGCTGATTGACCAATAAAAACGTTATCAGGTTGACCTGCATAAACAAAGCAAACTTCCTGTCTACAATCAAGGATCTGATCGAGTGTTTCTTTAGAGTTATAATATATTATGTAATAAAATGTATATTGGAATGTTAGAGTCATAATATAAATTAAATCATGCGATTCAATATATCGGCAGAACGGGAACATTTTTCTTTTTCATTGAGAGAGATACCATCACTTTTCAAGATGGCGGTTGGATTTAAAAGGGGATTCCCCGTTTGACTGGCCCGGAAGTGGCCCGGAAGTACCAATAAATGGAGGAATTTGACGGTTGAAATAAATTAAATATTACACCCAAATATTGCGAACAAAAACGAAAATTTCTTCGTTCTGACGATAAACCCAGAAAATTGTGGATTCAACTACACGAAAAGAATGCTATTTTACCAAATCTATTGAAGTATCTTAAGTGTAAGGGGTGTAGATAATTCTCCCAAGTTGCAATCGGACAGACAAAATATTGCGCTCGGTCCAGGACTATAGTCCTGGCACGGGATAAATGTACCCCATAAGAAACATCTTTATGTCCCTAGATGCCCCATGTGCTACTGATACGTCCAACACTAGGATCCAAGATCGATAGGAATGAATTTGTGGTCTGCATTGCCACCTTAAATCACTGTCCTTCTGTTCCCCCTTGGTACCCGTTTCTAAAAGTGAAATTTTAGTGTACGAAAAAAATCGTTCTGCAGGTGTGTCATAAAGTTTAAAAGTGCAGACACTTAGCAACTTACCCAATTTCATCCCACGCAAGAAATCCCCTTTTGTCGGGGTACTCTTTGTGCATCATCGCCATTATGGATACTTAGTGCATCTTTTGAACATGTTTAACTCAAAACATCAGCGAATAATTCACTGAAATATCCAACAAATGGAGTCGATTGTATTCCGAACAGTTTATTTACAATGCTGCTGTAATTGGCTGTTCTGTGTAGTATTCTTTCTCCTTTTTAACAATGTTTTAAATCAGCCAATTATTTTCAAATAATTTTTATTTACCAAAAAAACTATCAGAAAACATAATTTTGTTATTTAATTTTTATTTTATTGTATCGTAATTGAATTAATATGCCTTTAGAGTATTATTTTGAGACTTTGTGTTATATATCTGGTAGGGCTGTTTTCCAAATTGAACAGCAAATGATAAAATTACAACGCGCTTCGGAACGAAATAACGCAAACGTGAAACTTTGTCATAAAAGTAGCAAAAATGGACACAACGCGTTAATCAGATTTCATTTGTTTAATGAATACATATGTTTATATGAATATAGTCCACTATTTTATCAGTTGAAGTATTGCATTCTTGGGGAATACCGCGCCATATATGGGCACAAATATGACGTCATACGTAGGATTTCCCTGTTTTGACGTGCAACCAAACATGTTATGAATGGAGATATTTGAATTGAGAGGATTGGCATTTCGTGCAGATAATTTCAAAATAACAGCCAAAGTTTGAACAACAAACAGCTTGTATCAAACCAAGGTATGTGTCTTATGTTCACATTCTGCTTGAAACATTTTTAAATAAAAATAAAGGTAAAAACACAATGCACAACCAAGTAACAATTCTGCTTGTGTCATCATTGCCTTTTTGGGGGTCATTTTTAATTTTACAGTTTTTACTTTGTGAACATTTGTAAGCATATGTTGTTACTATATTTTGATTAGCCTACTTTTAATTGCATCTACAGTGTTCATAATTGCGCCTAAAACACATTGGAAAGTAAGACAACTTTTACGCTCCCCTTGGCCCAAAAGGTGGTCTTATCAGATTGTGTCGAAATAGCCATATTGAAAGGCAGGTGGAAGGATGTTTTATCAAGAAACAAAGCGCACAATAGAAATCCTGGTTGCAATGACATTTTAAGAGCACAATCTTGGAGTCGAGTCTGTATAGTGTTCATTTTTCACCTGGCCATTTGTGTACATGTAATTTCTCTCATAAGGCTGATAAAATTCTCATGTTTCAAGGCCACATCAGTACTATTGTGAAATAGCCTCAAGTTTATACTTTGTACATTCACAGATTCATGTTTGTGTTTTGTTTACAATTCACCCTTTTTCTATTCGAAAATGATCCACTGTGTATAGTTATTATTGATTATACAATAACTTGTTCGTCCTCAGTGAACAACTGATACAATCCAAAGGATCAGCGCAATGTGTTTGAACAACCACTTGATGGTCTGCACTGGACAATCAATGGTGGTGATTTATGATCTGGATTGATTACATTTTTAACAATCTTATGAAGACATGACTGCAATATCATCTGTAGGATAATATCACATGCAGTTTTTCAGATACACTACTTAGATAGAGGGTCAATGTTGAACAGAAGAGTTAAAATATGCATGCATCCTTGTAGCATTCAAAAAGTCAGTCGGATTATACATTAATATGAATTAGAAGCAGCAATGGTTGTTCTGGATGGTTTTCTACCAATACTGGAGATTGTTTATTTAATATTTTAATATTTGCATGGGCATTCAATCTATTGAAAGCCATTTGTTTGTATATTTTGGAAACTTTAAATTCCAAGATTTATCACATAACATTGTGGGATGGCAGTGGCACAATTAAAAACTTGGAGAGTTTTCAGATAACCTACTATCATAACAGAGATGATGAAAAGACATGCCATTTGAAAAAAGTTGGAGTATATTAGAAAAAAATATATCCTGAATGGTACAAATATTAGAGATGCGAATTGTGATTTTATTTCGATAACTTCAGACGGGAGATTCATTACACCATATGACATCATTATTGAAAGCCTAGAGATTATTTGCTCTTCAGAGTCATTATCAGATATTGCACTATCATAATGGAGATAATAAAAAATACCTTAGATTTGGAGAAAGTGGGAGTAAATACCATATTATCATGATGCAATAATGGTTGTCTACTAATATTGCAAATACAACTACATGTTTCTTTAAAGGTTGGTTTTATGAGTTACTTTAAACTTGATCTATTTATATCCTTGTTGTCCCTGTCACATGTCACAAGCATTGTGTTTAATAATTTGTTGTGCGTGAGACAGCGACCGCAATGTTTATAAGTTTCATCTATAAAATATTAGATGTATTATGTAAAATTCATCAGTATGTTTTGTGATTGGTCATCAGTGAGTTTGAATTAATGATCAGAGCTGTTGGGCACTGTTACCCGCACAACCAGATTATAAACTTGGTGTGCGTGAGACAGCGCACACTAGCACTTTTCTACCAGCACAATCAGTGAGTCACTAGCACAATCAAAGAAGACTATTAAAGAATAACACAATGAGTAATAGTCATCACCCATAGAACCAATGTGGCAGCATAATCAATGAAAACAACCAGTGAAACTTTTTCCTAGCACAATCAGTTGTTGTGTTTTTGTCTATCAAGAGCATTATGTAGCTTGATTTTTTCAATTTATTGATTTACTAAGAGTTTCTGTTAATTGTTATCATCATATTGTTGATTGTGTTCATTACATATTCTCATTTGCATGTTTAGCTCATGATAATTTATTGTGTTGAACATATTGGCTGTCTCTGTACTTTTGTTTTAATATAAGGTATTCATTTGAAGGATAAATACTGTTGGGCACTGTTACCCGCACAACCAGATCATAACTTGGTGTGCGTGAGACAGCGCACACTAGCACTTTATCACCATCATCACCAAAGCCAAGACTTCTGAGAAATTTGGTCTCCTGGATATATCTCAACTCTTTGTACAATTTTTATTTTACCTATTCAGACTAAAAGATATCATAAATATCCCAAATTTTTTTGATTTTCATAATTTTCGACTTGGTACCAACAACATGATCAAATGAGGTATAAACTAGGAATGTGGAAAATGTTAGATTCTCCTCAACTTAGTTTTGTACCTGGTTGTTTCAGTGCTGGGGAGATCACAACAATTTGATCAAAAAGTATACATCAATCACAGTAACTAATAAATTAGAGGATTGGTGCTCTTCGGTTCTGTCAGTTGCACAACCAATGAATTAGCTTGGTGTGCGTCAGACAGCGCACACTAGCACTTGCCAGTCTACAGTGCAGTAAGTTTTCTCCTTGGAATTGTTGAGTCACATAGGGGATTTGATTCTCTTATTGTGTTTAGTAGTACAGTATGTGTATTTTTAGGAAGATACATGATGGATTTGTGCTTTTGGGCACTGTTACCCGCACAACCAGATTGTAAACTTGGTGTGCGTGAGACAGCGCACACTAGCACTTTCCAGTTTCAGCACCGTCAGACTAGCACTTTCCAGTTTCAGCACCATCACACTAGCACTTTCCAGTTTCAACACTGTCAGTCAGTCTTCTGAGGCACAACCAGTCAAGTCATCAAAAATCAAAAACACAATCAATTTAGCCATACCAAGCAAGGTTATTACAAATAATCAATCAAGTTATCACAAGCATGAAGAGTCAAGTCAGAAAGCATACATTTTTGGGCAGAAGTGTTTACCATGAATAAATCTACAATGAGTGCCAATGAACTGGGAAAATAATAAACATTCACATTTCAGGACATTTCCTTTTGTAAGGTGCTCACTATGACAGGATTTTTATATGCAGTGTGAAATTAGTTCTTCAACTGGAAACCTGATAAAAGAACCTAACACTGGGAAGATCACTGAACTTCAAAGGATTTTAATATCACAGGCCTGTAGCCAGTGGGGTTTGGGCGAACCCCACCTGGGCAAAATTTCTTTCAAAATCATGCAGTTTTTCACCATTCTGACTTGCCAGATTTGCCAAAGTGAACTCCCCCCTAGAATTTTTTGGGAAAAGTGAACCCTCCTTGGAAAATTCTGGCTATGGGCCTGTATCACCACCACAATAAGGGACATTGCTATAGTCTCAAACTTTTTTGTGTTCAACGGTTTGCATTCAGTGGTCGGTGTCTGTAACAAATAGCAGGAGGTAACATTTTGCATGTTATTAATGCCTAGTTTCGGTTGTCATACTGCCCAAGCACAATCAGCTGAAGTCAGTGAGATATCTCAAACAAGTACATCCAATCAGTATGCAAGAAAGGAAATATTGCTTCAGAAAGTTTATTATTCATTGTCATCAACCAAGTTAGTGTAAGTGGTATGGAAATTGTAGCGTTTGTACAGGTACGCATCCTATTGAGGATTTGTGGTACTGAATAACTGTTATATACTAGTGGGTGCTGTCTCTCGAACAACCAGATGTTTAATTGGTGTGCGTGAGACAGCGCACATAGGTGTGTGACAGAAACAAGTGAGAAGTCAACAAAACGTAAAAAATGAAAAGCGGAAATTATTAGTGTTTTTGGAATGGTAGTCAACCAAAAGAAAAACAGGATAAATATGGCATTGAGTCAAGGTTGTAAAATTAAGATCTGACTCGCTAAAATTTGACCAAACCTAAGAATACAAATTCGATTACAGGCAGTCATGGCATGTATTAAAAGGAGCATGGATTCTCCTTAAGGAGAAAATGGGAGTAAAAGAGGAGAGAAGGGCCAAGTTGTTGTCTGCCTGCACAACTGTGTGAAGCTTTACATTGTGCATGAGACAGCAGCTACAGCTCTCTCAAATCAACAAGAACTTTGGGGACCATATCATCTTGGGGCTGAGTAAGTAACGAGGGGAGGGAGTTGTAAAGAATGTAAATGTACAAAATGAGGTATACACAGGCCGTCCAACTGTCCTGCAATTTGCATATTTGTCACGCATTTGCTGGAAAATTTGAAGTCACGCCAGTTTTTTACGCATTTTACCTGATTATTGTCTAGCAAAAATATTCCTGTAGAAAAACTTGTGATCGTTGATCGCCGATACAGCAAAAAACCGAACGCCGAAAAAAGACGAATATTTCATACCAACCCCCCTCTTTGGAGTATCATCCTTCACTTCTATAGCCAGTGGTTTCCTTAGATATTATAGCAAAACCTGTCAA